CCCTAAACCCTAAACCCTAAACCCTAAACCCTAAACCCTAAACCCTAAACCCTAAACCCTAAACCCTAAACCCTAAACCCTAAACCCTAAACCCTTGATGCTCACCTGAGTCACTTTAACCCTAAACCCTAAGCCCTAAAGTGACTCAGGTGAGCATCAAGCTTACGCACTGACTTCATAGTGCGAGGACCTTTAGGGAGGGTAAGTACAAGCAACACATCACTGACAGACAGTCACACACGCGTCGCGACAGGATGCCAATCAACCGAACAGCAACCACACCAACCAAGGAGGGAGCCCTCGTGCAAGACACAAAGACAGACAGACAGACACACTGACAGATTGACAGACAGACAGACGGACAGACGGACAGACGGACAGACGGACAGACAGACAGACGGACAGACAGATAGACAGACAGAGAGACAGACAGATCGGCGACGGGAGAAGGAAACAAAAGTTTGTTGTTACGTGACGTGTTGCGTGGGGCTTTTGTTGTAGTCTTGGTTGCATCCTGTTCATGTCTGGTGTGATTTGATTTGTCTGATTGTCAATAGCAGTAATGCATCTCTTTTCTCCTTCTCTGTGTGTGTGTGGTGACGTTTTCTCCTTCTCTGTGTATGTGTGGTGACCTCATGTGAGTATATCAGGTTATATGCATTATGCTCATCAGTGTGTCGGCCCGCTCGTAGACACTAAACTATGCCGATAAACTGTGCTGTTCATTCACTCATTCATTCCTTCATGAAAGGAATGTCATGCAGTCATCGAGTCTGACAAAAACGAATACGACATCCAACCACCCACCGATGTCACACACAGAATGTAGAATGCAGTCAGTCACGTTACCCATTCGAACGCACTCAGTTCCCGTCCACCACTGCTCATAAACAGCCCTCCCACCCATCCAATCCACCCACACCACCCAACCGCCACCCAGCCAACACCATTCACTCCTCACCCCAACACCCTTCCCCCGTCGATGACGTTACTCTCGAGACCCAATGGCCGCAGCAGACGGCGGACAGCACCAACCGACACGGGATAGCGCTGGGCGAGTGGATGAGACCGATCGGCAGCAGACGGCTCAGTGGTGTAAAAATCGATCTCGACCGACCATACGCACAGGTGGGCAGCGATCGTCTCGTTGTTTCGGAAGCCGCTCACAATCACATTACGATAGTCATTGGCATGAGCAGCATTCAGATCGCCCCTATCGTCGCGGAAGTCGACGGCGATGCCCTGATCCTCCATGAGACCGTCGGTCCTCAGCAGTCGGACACAGCGAGGGTCAGCATGGCCGATGAGTGCAAAGACCACCAGCTTGTGGCGCACTCTCTCTTCATCGCACCACCAGGAGAGCATCGTGTCCAGCAGGAACGCCGAGAAGGAGCGGTAGAGCCAGTCGTCCAAGCGGATGACGGGGTCGCTCCGCTGGTAGCCCTCGCATAGGGATGGCCGCCCGGCAGCTCACCCAACAGCACCACACGAAAGGGCAGATTGGCGATCCGATAGTGTCCGTTGCCGGCTGGCTGCAGCGCCAGGCTGTTGAATCCGTATATCAGCAGGTGGCGGAACAGCCGATAGACGGGCATGGCGAGTGGCATCCGGTGGAAGGCCCTTGCTGTGGGCAGCGAGTCGGCCGACAGACGGAGAGGCCGCCTTTTGTGTGTCAGCAGGTGGCCGAATAGCCGATAGATTGCCATCGCCAAGGGCAGCTGGTGGAATGCCGTCCTGCTGGGAAGGTGGGCTGTCAGCCACTGAGCCGACAGCACCAGGGGCAGCCCATTGGCAGGCGTCAGCCGATAAATGGCGGCCAGCCGGATGAACCGCCCCATCGCAAGGCCACTCGTTGCTGCCCTGCTCCAGCACATAGGCCGCCCGCAGCACATAGGTGAATGGGAGAGGGGCGGTGCGGTCGATGTCGATGAGGCCGGCGAGGGAGTGGCGGGCGAGGGAGCCGTCGACGCGCTCCACCAGCAAAGCGGCCGTGACGATGGACGTGCCGATGGTGGAGGTGTTGCGGAGAGAGTTCACATCAGGCAGCCGCAGGCACGCCACCACACGCCCACGCCACACCTCCAAAGGCCCCGAGGACGCCATCAATCAGCCACCACGAGCAGTCACCACACGCCGACAACCACCGATGGCCATCAGCGGCTGAGTGAAGCGATCGCATTCGGCTTCATGATGAACGTCGTGGCTGTTGATGGGCCGTGACGACCCAGAGATCTGGGGAAAACCGTTCACCCTGTCCTCACGCTAAGGTCTAGGGTTTAGATGCTAGGGCTCAGGGTTTTTAGGGCTTGGGGTCTAGGGTCAGACGTGATCCAACTCAAATTTCTTGTCGAAAGGAGCGCGTCAGTAGCTTCAGGCAAGTGCATGAAGATTCAGACCCTGACTCTCTCTCTTGGTCCCATGACATTTGCCCAGGAGATCCAGCCACACGGCCGCTGACAGGTCGATGAATGCAATGTGTTACGAGCACCATTGACGTTTTTGTGCTTGTGCGTCGGTGGGTGTCTGCAGGTGTGTGTCTTTCTGACTAGAACGAACAGTCTGCGGCACTCGAGGCGAGTGGCCGAATGATGGAACAGACTGAGGGTCAGCAACACCCCAATACGGCTCTCGCAGGCTCCGTTCAGAGTGGCGCCGGCATACGCATCGACGTCCAGCCACCCGCCAGACAGTCCAGGACACATCGGCGGAGCGATGGTGGTCACCGCCCAAAGCCATCTGGGAGTCGGCTGAGGACGTGGCTTGTGTCTGGCGGGATGGTTGGGCTGTTCTTTCTGCTGGTGTGGTTGGCGGTGTGTCTGTGGGTGTGGCTTGGCATCCAAAATGGGCAGCCGGGAGGGGGCGGGACGGTGTATGACTACGGCATGTGCATCGACGCCGGCTCACATGGCTCACGCATACACGTCTACAGGTGAGGACACCGTCACCCACACATGCATGATCATATGTATGTATGCATCTGTAGACGTGTGTGTGCTGTCTTGTGGCCTCTGCGTTCCTGCAGGTGGCCGGAGAGGCTGTATGACCCTCGCTTTCCTCTCACTGGTAAGTATGTATGTGGGGTGGGCATACAAGAGGCAACACAACCATCATGGGAGGCATTCGTCTGCTATGTATGGGGGGTTGTGTGTGGTGTACTTAGGTCCTGTAACATTTCCTGAGCACATGGGTGCGTACAAGATCAAGCCTGGCATCAGCAGCTACACAAATGACCTCGACAAACTCGGGTCGGTCCATGCAGGCACACACGCACATGAGCATGTGTGCGTGTATGTGTAGGTCGGCTCTGCAGGAGCTGCTGGAGTACGCACAGGCGACTCTCGCTGCACACAAGGTGGGCCATTCAAACGCACTCATCAATTACCGCATGTGTGGATGGGCATCTGCTTCTTGTGTGTGTGTGTGTGTGTGTGGATGGACTCAGGACCGTTGGTCGTCCTTTCCGCTGTATCTCAAGGCGACGGCTGGCATGCGTGACCTGCCGATAAGGGACCGGGACACCATTATGAATGCCATACGAACAGTCTTCGCCAACACGGTCGGTCAAACCGTGTGTGCGGGTCGGTCAGTCACGTGTTGTGTGTCTGTGTGTCTGTGTTGTGTGCGTGTGCGTGTGTGTGTGTGTGTGTGGTGTGTGCAGACGTCCAATCCCTTCCTGTTCCGGCCTGACGATGCTCGCGTCATCTCGGGTGTGTGCATGAGTGGCATGACGATCGATCCAATGAATTCACCGGTCTGCCTGTCTGTGTGTGTGTGTGTGAAGGGGAGGAGGAGGGTGTCTACGGATGGCTGGCCGTCAACCACGCAAGGTCTGACACACCGATGGATAAATGGACACACGTCCCGTGTGTGTCTTGATTTGCTTTGATGTGTGTGTGTGTGTGTGCGTGCAGTGATCGATTGATCCAGGAGAGCTGCGCCACGGTGGGTTGCTACGGCGGCACCATCGGTGCTCTCGACATGGGCGGCGCCTCCACTCAAATCACATTCATTCCCAAACACACATCCATCATGGAGGTAAGCCACACACACTCACACACACACACCCCGACCAGTCGCCCGAATGTGTGCGGTGTGTCTCGCCTGCAGGACATGTTTCCTGTCCACTTGGGTTCTCACTACATCCGGCTCTTCTCGCACTCATTCCTTGGCTACGGATACGCTGACGCACTGCATGTACGCACACACCGACCGAAGGCCCACCCACACCAACACAACGGTGTTCCCTGTGTGTGTATGTGTGCAGCGTGCGACAGGCAAGTGGGCGATTCGGCACATCACTGGGGCGGCACCCTCACTGGCCATCGCCGATGGGGTTGCTGGTGCTGATGGTGGTGATGGTGTGGGTGTGTGGCCATCTGTTCTGGTCAAAACCAAGGCGAAGGAGATCAGTGCAGACCACCCATGCTATCCCAAAGGTGAGAATCACGCACACAGACACACACATACATGTCATGCAGACAGTCACTTGGTTGATTGCGCGTTGCGTTGGCTCTGTGTGTGTGTTTCAGGTCACCGGTTCAAGTGGGTTCAGGCAACCCTTCACGATCCCGACTATCACATACATTCGTCAGAGGGGCCAGACGCACACAACGCCACCGACGTCCGCTTCACCGGCACGGGCGACTTCAACAAATGCCTCCTACTCACCAAACAGTATGCTTCCTGGAAACCATACACACCACAACATCCATCCATCCATCTGTGTGTGTGTGTGTGTGTGCATGCAGGTTGTTCTACAGCGCTCCATGTTTTGTCGGCTCCTGCAGCTTCAACGGCGTCTACACACCAAGAATACTCGACACCACGTCAGCGTACAAGTGCATGAACGCCCCCATCGGTGCAGGGAGGTGTGTGTCTGTGTCTGTGGATGACAGCTTCGTAGCATTCGGTGCGTATGCCGATCTGTACAAGATCATGAATCTGGGCGCAGGGGCAACACTCATGCAGTGGGGCCATGCCGCTGACGACGTATACCAACACCACACCAACACACACTCACAGACTGGCAGACACGTGTGTATGTGTGTGTGTCTGTGTATATATCAGCTGTGTTCGCGGAGCATCCCTGAGCTGCAGGAGCAGCTACCGGACCTCAGCCAGGCAACCACCAAAGACACACACGGCAACGCACCAAGGCGGCCTCTCAGACCCCTCCCTCCCTCCCTCCCTCTCTGTTGTCCGCGCCGCAGAAGGATCTGAGTCTGCTGTGCTGGAAGGCCACATGGAACTACGCAAGTCACTCATCCATCGCCTCTCTCCATCCACACACACCCCCACACACATCCCCTGTTTGTGTGTGTGTCAGTGTTGGTTCAGGGTTACGGCTTCCACCGCCACACGGCACAGATCCATTTCCAGGGCATATCGTCAAGCGGCGATGAGAGCATCATGCCCGACGACGAGCTGCCGGAGGCCAGCTGGGCTACAGGATCAATGATTTTCGAGGTAAGCTATGCAAACACACACAGCTGACATCCATTGTTGTGTCTGTCTGGGTGTCTGCATTGGATTTGGACAGGTGAACTATTACCCATGGCGTGTGCCGGGCGAGCAGTGGCAGGCCCCTTTTTGGCTCTGCATGGCCGCAGCTGTTTTCTTCGCCGCGCTCTCACTCATTCTCGCCATACAGGTGGGCCACACAGATCTGATCTACCTTCTCAATGGGCTCTGCTGCCACTCCCTGTCTCTGTGTGTGTGCATAGGTGTGCAACTATCGCGCAGCTCATGGGTACAGCAAGATCCCCTACTCGCTGCTCAACTCCCACCCCCAGCCCTCACCCCTCCTCCTCTCCTCACACCACGCATCCGCACCGCCCACCCCAGGACACATGCACCACCACCACCACCATGTGCAGCCGCATGCACACCATGCGGGGCCAACAGGGTTGTCTGCCGGCGACTCTTTTGAGGGCAGGAGTCTGCCAGTGGTGCCGGCCAATCTGCCTGGGACGGTCACGGAGGGCTACAGGGCGCTTTAGTGGGGCCATGGGGGGTGTTTGATTTGCGTCACATGGATGGACGGCATATAATGGTGGATGGTGTTGGTGAGATGGGCTATGGTTTGTGTTTTCGGTCGTCGGACTTGTCGGCAATCTTACTGTCTGAAGGGTGGCGATGAGTGGGAAGGGGGTCATGCAACGGATTGATTGCTGCGAGCATTTAGTTAGGTCGATGTACTTACATATGTTTGAGCGATGGGTGTGTGTGCACTTACTCAATCACTCGGATGTCAAGTCATCAAAGTGCATAGATAACAAGAAGAACACACAACGAGAGAAAGCCACGAAAGCCGTCACGCCACTGCATCCATCCACAGTGAGAGAGGAGAGAGATACAGATGCAATATACCCCAGACAGATAGATAGATAGATAGATAGACAGACAGAGACAGAGAGAGAGAGAGACAGACGCGCCAACCGATCGCCCGCCCGCCAGTCAGGCAGACCCTCTTCATCCGTCAAACGCACCACCAACGCCTCGTAGCCGACAGCCAGCACCCATCATCCGAACACGATGCCCCTGTCGATGACGTCACGCTCCAGCTCAAATTACCGCAGCACACGGCGGGCGGCACTAACCGACTCGGGGTAGCGCTGGGCGAGCGGCTGAGACCGATCGGCAGCAGGTGCCTCGGTCGTGAACAAGTCAATAGTACCATGCCCCATCGACAGATAGCCAGCAACGGTCTCGTTGAGTCGGAAGCCGCTCACAATCACATAACGACAATCACTCGCGTCAGCAGCATTCAGATTGCCCGAGTCGCCGCGGTAGTCGACGGTGATGCCCTGACCCTGTGTTGTGTCGTTGGTCATCAGGCGGCTATAGCGATGGTCATCACGGCCGATGACCGCAGACAGCATCATCCTCTCGCCTACTCCCCCTCCATAGCACCACCAGACGAGCAGCCTGTCGAGCAGGAAGGCCGAGAATGAGCGATAGAGTAGGATGCTCTAGCGGATCACGGGATCGGTCCGCTGATAGTCCTCAGCATAGCGAAGGCCACCCGGCAGCTCACCCAACGGCACCACACGAAATGACTCATCGCCGATCTGATAGCGTCCGTCGTCGGATTGCTGCAGCGCCAGTGTGGTCCCTCCGTATGTCAGCTGATGGCCGAACAGCCGATAGATGGCCATGGTAAGGGGCAGCTGGTGGAAGGCCGTTGCTGTGGGCAGTGCGTCAGCCGACAGACGGAGAGGCCGCGTCGTATTGGTAGTCACCCGGTAGATGAAGGCCAGCCGAAGGAACCGCCCCATCGCCCGCCACTCCTCGCCACTCTCCCGCTCCAGCACATAGACCACCTTCAAGCCGGCCTCCACATCACCGCCAATGTCGAAGGCCAACACGTCCGCCAGGCCCAGACGACTAATGTGCTCATCCACGCGGCGCCTCACCTTATAGAGCATCGTCTCAACATCATCGGGATGGCTGTTGCTGATGTGTGAGCGCAGAGCGGCCCGTCTGTTGGCGTCAATCGACATGGCCATTTCAGCCGCCTTGCTGATAGCGATGCTGCGCAGGGGTGGGACTGTCGTCGGGGCGGTGTGGCCATTGGGATTGGCAGGGGGAGGGTGGGCAGAGGACGCCATCAGTCAGGCAACTGATCTGAATCAACGACACAAAAAGTGGCAATCAGTGCTGCCGAGATAAGTGTGCGTCTCTGTGCTGACCTCAAAACACTTGGCTATGAAGGAATCTCTGTCAGCAGCCCAACACCAGACGGCTGCCGGCACCCACACAGCAGCGTGGACAGCAGGGGGTACACAAGCATCCATCAGACGAGGAAGTCGTCAGGCGAGCCACCTACCGTCAGCAATGCCCACCAGCGGCCCAGATGAAGCAATGGCGTGGCCAGGCGGCCGTCGTCGTCAGCGAGTCAACGAGGCGTTGTGGGAGATCTGCAGGCACACAAAACACCGAAGCAGCAGCTGACTGAAGCATTTCAACGCTTCATCTGCCTCTTTCGCTGCCGCCTTACCCTACTCTGAGCGGCCTCAGAGCTTCAGAGGACTTTGGCGCCGAGAGGCGATCTGCGAGCTTGGCTCTCGTCGTTGGCGACAACAGGGCGCGTGGAGTGTCTGGGAGATGCCCAAAGAGCCGCTGTGATGCTATCGATCACCACAGATGCTGCCGCCATCTCCCTGAGTGACGCCGTTGGGGCACATTGAGGTGAGGGAGGGTGGGGAGGAGGGCCTGATAACATCAGCAATGACAGCCTGTGTGCTTTCTGTGTGTTTGTTGACACATTTGGCGCATTTCCAGTGTCGTTGTGCGGTTGAGCGAAAGAGAGGAGGAGCATCAGGGGCAGCCAAGCAACCAAGGTATGGGAAGCGAAAGAAAGCCGCTCGGATGTTCACATATGAGGCGCCACACATGCATTCACTGATGTGATGTCCGTGATGTGTCTGTGGCGGGTGTGCAGATGTCGGGTGCTGCTGATGGAGGTGGTGCTGGCTTTTTAGCTAACGAGTCGTCCTCGTCGGCTGTGTGGTCTCTGTGTGTTAATGACAGATTTCCGGCACTCTCCGGTGTGTTGGTGCGGTTCAGCGACAGAGGAAAGGGTTCTGCCGTAACCACATCTCCATCAGGGGCAGCCAACTGAGGTATAGGAAGCGAAAGACAGGCCGCTCGGATGTTCACAGATCGATGAGGCGCCACCAATGCATTCGCTCATATGGCGTCTGTGTTATGTCTGTTTGTGAGTGGGCAGATCATGTCGGCTGCGGCTGCTGATGGGGCTGCTGGCTCTGTGGCTGACGAGCAGTCCTCGTCGGCTGCGCCTGCCGCCAATGGTAACCAACAAGTTCGCTGCAGAAGGACACGACAATGCCGGCACACAGCTGTCTGTGTGTGTTGGGCTGCAGGTGCGGTCAGTGCACCTTCTGCCAACCACCACCACCAGCACCAGCAGCATGATCGCCTTATCAGTGCCGCTGACGTGCCGCAAGATGTCGCCCCGACGGTTGCCGAGTACGTCAGGAGTTACTCACAGCTGGAGGCCCTCATCGACGCCCATCCCACCCAATTCACCGCCGCCGTCCTGCTGCCGATCCTCATACGACTGCTGGCCGTCGTGGTGGACGCCATCTTTGGCCCTTTGGTGGAGGTGCCGATTCCCCAGCTGACCCAGAGTGTGTCCATCATTGTGGCCGCCACACGTCGGCTCTTCATGCTCACGAGGGGCGGCGATTGGGCCAGATGGCGGCCTCATCTGGAGATGCTGTACTTGCTGCAAGGCAATAGGCCTTTGGTGCTGGGCGATGACAACTTCGGCATCTTCGGCAGCCGGGCGGCCTTCATCGGCGAGACGGAGGCCGTCCGGCAGTGGAAGATGCTCAGCTGGGGGGTCACTGTCGCTGTTAGAGGCCAAGGGAGACAGCTGATGAACGGCAACGGCATCCTTGACCGTCAGAATGGCCGTTCCGTCCCCCCCCTCATGGCCTCTGCCAGCCCTGTCTTCCCTCACGTACCATTCGACCCCGCCGACCCGCCCACAGAGCTGAGCGCCTTTGACGCACTTGGCTTGACGTGCCCCAACTACACCTCAATGGCGGGCCGCGTTTTGTTCAGCTGGCTGTTCGGCGGCGACCACATCCGTCGCATCAAAAGCTGGTGCTCTGACAGTCCGGCCTCTGCTGCATTCCAGCGTGTGTGTGAGCTGCTGTCGGCCCCTCCCAGCGATGCGGCACAGTGGGGGGCGGGAGTGTTCGACAAGAAGCGGCCGTGCTCTGACAGGGAGGGGCATCGGCGCCTGATGGTGCTTGGGATTGAGACGATGGGGGACGGCCACATGGCGGTCATTGAGCTGATTCAGCTTGAATTCATCCGGCAGAGTCCACGCTATGTCGTCATCTGGACGACCGAGTCGGCCCCCCACGACAAGACGTGCACTGTTGTGATGAGAGTGCTGGGGGATCACCTGGGGGGAAAGGTGTGGCGGGAGGAGAACGAGGAGAAGGAGCACAGGCGAGCGACGGCCAACACGAGGAGATGCACCATAATGTGATCGGGGGCTTTGGGGCTTTGCCGTAAGTGTGTCGGTTTTCTATGACACAGGGGCTGCATTAGTGGTGGTGTGCGGGAGGGTCAGTCCACAGACTTTGTTCGTCGTTTTGAAGGAGGGGCGACAGAATGACCGACCGTCAGACAGACCGACAGAAAGACCGACAGACGGACAGACAGACAGACAGACAGCTGGGCAATGGGGTTTTTCCTGCCCGTCTGCTTGCATGGGCCTCTGTGTCCGTTCCCTCGGCTGCATCCTGCCCATGTCTGTCTGGTGAGCGAGGCATTGAATGGCGTGGCTGACCTGTGTCTCTGTCAATGGCACACCTGAATGAATGAGCCCCGTGTCACTTGATGGGCAAGATGAAAGACACTGAGTGGTTCTGCTGGCTAACAGGTCCACATGTCAGTCAGACGCACACACATATCAACAGCCCCCACCCCACCCCACCCCACCCCACCCCACACACAGGGTGACGGCAGTCAGACACACCACATCCATCAACTTAATCTCTTCCCTGTCTGTCATGGCTCCATCAGCAGGATACTCAGCCGTCGGCCGGTCAGTGACTCACTGTGGCCAGCCAGGCGACACTCAGCCGCCGGCCAATCAGAGAGACAAATCGCACCAGCTGTCGTGAATGAAGTCGTGATGGATAAGGCCGACAGACAAGCCACACACGACCGACAAGAGAATAGCAGGGTCATCGCTCGTCACGGTAATCGATTCCTCTGACAGTCACAGCCAGGGCAGTCAAACGCAGTCACCCATCGGCCGAACCACCACCACATCAAAATCGGCCAGCGGATCGGACCACATCACATCACATGCACTCACACCCACGCCCACACCCACAAGCAGCCATGAGGACTGCACACACACAGAGAAGAGAGGCCCACGGCCACAAGCCGAAGCCATAGACCAACTCACCACCTCACACACCCATCCATCAGCTGCAGAGCCAAGCCAGCCATTCGGTCACACCTCAGCAGCAGCTGGTCACACGGCACATCTTCCCCTCCCTCACTCCATGCCCCCGTCTTCTGTTTCCTGGGGAATTCGGGTCCCACAACGATGTTGTTGACCAATCACACCGCCCCACACACCAAGGCACACACGCACAAACGAGAGAGAGACGCGCATGCAGGCAAACAGGGTTGTGGCGAAGAGACTCACTAAGTGAGAGCGAATTCGGGAACGTGTGCTATCCCGCAGAGATCCAGGCCCAGGATGCTCGTGATGGTGGCCGCACTCGCCCGCCAGTCATGTTTCGACACGTATGCAATGGCGGAGGACCGGCCCAGGGTCGTCTCATTCAATTTGACGGTTGCCCGGACAGTTGCTGCTTGACAGCACACGGGCTGCCGTCGCCGCAAGTAGAAGCGGAATGCTGGCCCGAAGGAAAGAAAACATCGTGGATGCCCTGGTGCTTTTTCGTGTGTCGATACGTGACAAAACGCTTTCTATTGGGGGCGTCTGAGACTGCTGGCCCCAACTGCACGAACCTCGGTTCCCCACTCAGCACACGATGGTGAAGGACGAAGACTATCTCCCCACCCAGGTCAAAGCCTATCTGCAAAAGCACAAGGTAAGCAGTGGTTAGCTCGTGCTTGTGAATGCCTCTTGTGTTGTCATGCACCTGTCTGTCTGTAGGTGGAGGATGGCCTGAATACGGCTCTCAACAAGCTCCTGACGACATCATGCCTGCCCCCCGACCCCTTCAACCTTTCTGCTCCGTCAAGCACGCGCCCCACGCTCCCAGATGCAGATAGCGGCCCTGCCCTCACTGTCCAGGTACAGTAGCACTCAGCAGAACTACTGACATGCAATGGCCATGTTGTTTGTTTACTTATCGTCTGTGGTCGCAGGCACCGGCAGAGTATCTGTCCGTGGGGGTGTGGTCATTCTCATGAAGCGATGTTTCTTTGGGCTTGTTGGTCGCATGGCAGTGAGGGAGAGAGCGGCCGGGGAGGGAGAGGGGGATAAGGAGAATGAGGATGGTGCCAGGGGTGAGGGACAGGTGGAGGACTACTCCATCAAGGAGGTCGTGGCGCTCATGAATGGGAGCTTGAACGCTGCTGTGGGTGGATGCGATGTGCTGCGTCTTGACGCCATGGAGAACAAGTAAGTAAATAAGTGCCTGCCACGGATAGTGTCAATTATGGCCATGCGCGGCCGGCATCAGGCTAGATGGCTTCTTGAGAGAGGCTGCGATACAGGTGAGGTGAGAGGGTGACGCCTGCGTGGCCCGTGGTACGTACGCTATTTAAGCTGTCAACTCACGGATGCAGGATAGAGAAGAGGTGGCGTGGCGCCTCACGGATATCCTGCTCGCCATGTCCGCCAACGCCCTTAATCTCACCTTAGGAATCCGGCAAGGTGGGCGCACACAGCACAATCGATCTGCCCATGGGCCGCTTGTCCACGAAGGTTCTTTCGGTGTCTGTCTGTATGTATGCATCCCTCA